TGCCTGCACCGTGCCCGATGCCAATCCTCCCACCCCAGCAGCCTGCCCTGCCAGCCACCCTGCCTGCACCGTGCCCGATGCCAACTCCTGCACTGCTGTTTGAACTCAAACACTGGTGCCTGCCTCGAAGCACTGCATCCTGGAATCCTGAGACCACAGGAATCTGATTTTTCAGAATTAGAAGACAGAATAATAAAAGCAAACATTTGGCCGGTGTTTCCACAGAAGACTGCCACAATATGAATTTTACAGATTAAAAGGCCAGAAGGCAAGTGAACTCAAAAATGTATTACTGTTATGACATTAATTTTAAACCAATCTGGTGAATTTTTGAGAGTTTAAGAGCAACTAGAGTACCACATGAGAAGTTCAACAGAAAGTTTGAGGATTCCCCCCACAATCACACAACCAGAAATGCTGAGAACAAGCTGTCCAGTAATGCAGAAATTAACTGTTCACTTTCTTTTATTAATCTGTTCTGAGAAGCATCCCTCCTGCTGTCTTCCATGGAGTCAAAGGAAAAAGGACAGAATGCAGCTAGCTGGTGGAGAGTTACCCCTTTCACACAGGGACCGCAAGCTCAGACACAAATGTACAGAGAAAAAAAAATAGCTTTAATTTTACTATGAAAAACAGTAAGTAAATTGCTATAGGTTTAGGTATATGATTTCAGAATCTAAAGGTTTGGGGAAATAACCTCCATTCGTTTTCTGGTAAAATTAGCCCCCAAACTTCAGAGTCGTAACAAGTCATTGGCTGACTAAGTTAGGAGCCACCAGCCTGCACTGCCAGATTAGCAAGACAGAGTCATTTTGACAAATCAAATTGTTCAAGAAATAGTCTGAACTAATTCATCTTCACCAGCAGACAGACCACATTGCAAAAGTGTTGAAGAGAAACATTTCAGGTAATAAAAACCTCTACAGAAGCTTGCAGAGTAATAATAAAAGGTTTAGAAGGCTGACATCGCATGAATGTATCAATGTTTATCCATAAACAAAATTAGGAAAGTTGCTGAAGAGCTAACACTGGGCAGGCTGATGGAAGTACAAGAGCAGCCAGTAACATATAAAAATTTATCCATCATGATTTAGTTAAGAGAGTGTTTAATAGAAGTGTATAAAATGCTAGAATGGAACAGAAAATGTCAAGACCAGGTATTATTTTCTCTTAATATGCGAAGAGTAGGAAGAATCCAAAGGAAGTTAAAACAAATAGAAGACAAAACACACTGAGATGACCTTTATAAGTTGACAAAAAAAGTAGGGATCTATGGAAGAACCAGATCAAATGTCAAAGGGAGAAGAGTGTAAGGGAAGTTATTTAATAGATATATCTGCTTTGAAAATTATGTATGATTTAAAAGTCTGAAAGTCTGTTCATGTTTTCCCAAAACAATTTATCTAAAAGCTGCCTTTTAAATTAAAATTAACATTTGTGAAAGCTTACTCTATCTCTAACTGCTGATGCCTTAAAAAACAAGGGTCATTCATAACAGAAAAAAACATTTCTTTTAAAAAGGAAAAATCTACTTCTACTAAGCTTTGATTCACTGAATTTAGTATCCTGGTGTCTGTCCTGATGACAGAGATAGAGATTTGTTGTTCACATTGTGGACAATCTTGAGAGATGTTAAGAAGTTCTGGTAAGTTTCCAAATTTCCATGTAAGAACAAAATAAAGTTTCATTAATATCATTACTCTAACTGTGATATTTAAAAATTAAACAAAAGGAGAGAGCTGTGGTATCAAAAAGACCAGTTGCATAGTGAACGAGAATCATGTGATAGAAACTACAATCAAACTTTATTGAGACCCCAATTCCCTTTTGTTATCAACATGCTTCAGTTTCATTACAATACTATGCTTGGGATGCTTTGCTTTAACTTTCCACCTTAAAATTTACATTAATAGACATATGTCATCATATCCTGCTGCAAGTTCAGATTTATGACTTCACAGTATATGGAGCCTTTCTGCTTCAGCAGCTAATACCTGCTCTGTTTATCCCTTCAATCACATCACTTCCTTTCAATGCTCCCAACTACATGATGGAGGTTTATTCAACACTTAATTATGAAAAGAAGTGCCATGCCCTTTAAAAAAACAGATTAGAACAACATCCTGCACAATTACCGTAAGAATTAATGAGTAAAACATAGCAAGTTTACAAACAAAGTTATTCACAAATAGTAGGAAAGACAAGAAACCAATAGCAACTCCCTTCATTTGGTTCTAATTCAGGAAATACCTCTACTCAGCAAGGCACACAAGTTCATGAATAAATCCCACTAAATTCAATTAAATTTAGGCAAATGAGCTTAAATTCCTTCCTGATGCATCCTTCTGATAGCAGGCTGCACAAAGGTCTCCTAAGTTACGTGGAAACTGGGACAGAAGGTGACAAGCTGTTTCATAGCTCTTACAAACAAATGAGTTCAAACAATCCTTTGTTTCAGCAAAACACTCGAACAAGAGCTTAGGTTCCACTGACTCCACTTGAAGTGAAGCTCACATTTACATGATTTATTCCATCAAGGCCAGTATGAATACTAAAGAATCATACTCACTCATGTCTCTCATAGCCGAGGGTTTCTCGGATAGACCACGCAACCTGGTAAGGGGAGGTTTGCTCTGAATCCTCCAACTCTTCTCCACTGTCTTCAGACCAATCCAGCCCTAAGGGAATAGAAAACATGAAAGGTGGATGAAAAGTGTATCCACCTCATAGAAGTCTCTGAGCAACCTATGGCACAAAAGATGAATGCATAGTATAGTTACAAGCATAATTATGTTTGATTAAATCATAGAATATTCTCAATTATACAGGAAAAGTTACAGTAACAGCTGCATTATAGTGTGCAAATAGCAAGCACTGATTTTTGTCAAATTTGAGTTTTCCTTTTAAAATCCTTATCGGTTTCTTTATCCATAAGCAGTGCAAGAAAAATCACCGGCTTTCTTACCCACAGAAAAATACCACAAGCTTTCGTACCAAGCACACGGAATCTTTAGAGACAAGGTAAGAGAGAAGTCCCTGCCACAAAGAACTGACTGCCTGGCAATTTTTAATACTAGGTGATCTAAATAGGCCACTTTCATTTCTGTTTATATTCTGATCCTTGCTCTCTGCCAAAACATGGGGAGAATAGGAAAACTGTAAGACAGAGCAGCATGGACAGGGATAGATACACCAGCTACACAGGATGTTCCTTTGCTCAGTCTCTGTAATTGCCTGCCAAATGCAGACATTAGCATGAAAAGAGAGCTAAAGAGAGAGATGCAAATACTCCTGCACTTCTACTAAGCAGCATGCTTTCACTTGATGATGATGCAGTAGAATCAACTGATTATATGCACCAGTAGCCTCAGTTAGTCAAGCTAAACACAATCGTTGAATAGGACAGACAGAAACAAAGTCCAGTAAGTTCTCAGGTGGAACATTTTATCTGGAGTTTCATCTTTTGCAGTTTGTTTTTTGGTTTGGTGGTGTTTGGTTTTTTTCAGTTTTTCCTACTCTTCCATATCCCATGGAATTCTTGCTAATTCAGGTGAGAGAAAATCCCGTAGCTGCATTTACAAGCAAGCATTATTACTTTTTCACTTTCTTGTGTGCTCCTTGAAAATGGAGCAGCAGTTGGGATAGAGTTAAGGAGCACTTTATTTTTGCTAAATATAAACTAAATGACTATATCTGAGATTATTCTGAAGTCAGATGCTTTGAATTTGGGAAATGTTATCAGTACTTGGTTACCTGCTTTCAGAGTTAGACACACACACACTTGGAATACAATTGTCAGGAGCACCTTCATCATTTAGAAACAACACTTTAACATAAACCAGAAATATCAGAAACCCTATTTTCCAGGAACTTCAGCATCCTGAAAATTCTATTGTTCATTCCTATTTTTAAGATATACATTTGAACTAAATTCATAGAATCATAGAATTAAGATATCTTAAGACATTTGATAAAGTGCCAGAATCATACTTTAAACTTAAATGTTTTTTCACTCTCACCCTTTCCATAAAGGAATGAAAAAACAACTTAATCATTGGATAAAGATGTCCACAACTGATACCACGGAACAAATTATTTACTCAAATTTTACAAATAAAATCAGAGGGTGTGTTGTTTTGCTTTTAATGGGCACTGCAGAAATGAAGGAATAAAATCTAATCCAGATTCAGCTACACTCACACTGAAGACTGCAGTTACATTAACATCCAATTACATAGCTTTGATGTAAGTACACATAAAACTTGCTGCATCTTTTTTAGGATTCTGTGCAGTCATCTCTAGTGCTACTCTATCATAAAAACAAAATCCTGAAACTCTCTGAACCAGCATAACTAGTCTTTAATATTAAGGCATATTATGAATAAATAACAAATACATTTTCTACTCTCACATAATTGATGTGAATGCTGTTACTTTGAAAAATATAAAATGTTGTAATTGCATACACATACAGTTATGCATCTGCCTAACTGTACATTTATAGGCCTAATCAGTTTTTTTTACTATGCCTCTTCTTCAGGAAAATGTATTCTCTTCACCACTTGAGAATGTAAAACATTAAACACAGAAAGCATCCTTCTACAATCTTTCAAAACACAGGTCACTTTCAACGCTACTGGGGTCTGTGACACTCAAAAATGCCTCTGGAGTTGTCATTCCTCAAAAGACCTACATTATAGGTAGGACCATCAAAGCGGTTTTCTGAAGAACAATGTCCTTTGGAGACATGCTATGGGATGCTAATTATCTTCTGAACAAACAGTCAGGCTATCCCATTAGTGCCAAAGGACAGATCTTAATAGCAAATTTAAAAAAAGGTTAATTGAAAAATAGCAAAAATTACAGATGTTTGCAATTAAATAAGATATTATATGAAGAACATTCAGATTTAAGTCTTTTTTTTTTTTTTTAAACATCATAAATGGAATTCCTGCTCTAATATAACACAGTCAAGTCAAGTGGAAATTTGGATCTGCACAGAATGATGGGCCAGATCTCCAAACTTTGACTTGCACTCAACTTTGTAAATATGCACTTGTCACATATTTAACGTTCAATCTAACCTTGTCCACTCATGTAGGTACAGCTGTGCCATCTTTACTACTCAAGTTGCAAAACTTCTGTAGGATGTCTGTATCATCCAAATAATACTTTCTACACTTCAGTTTGATTTCCCAAATGGTTAACAGGACATTAAGAAGAATAAACAGCCAAAATACCATAAACTATCTGCGAAGGGTCCAGGCATTCCCTTCATAGAGAACAGGGCTAAAGAAAACACCAAGAGATTACCCAGTTCAGGGTTATTTTGCAAGGATGACACACAAATGCAGGACAGGGCTAGGAAGACATTCCCCTGTTGTCTTTTGGTTTCAGGTTAAAAAATAAGCACGCAGCACATCATATTATCTACCCACCTAAATGTGGAAACAGATCAGTGTCCAGCTGCTGTTTTCGAGTGCACAGTTTCACCAGTCTCTGTAGCCGGCTCATGCAGGACGAGTGCGGAGAGAAGGCTGTGGCTTTCATGAGGACCCGATCAGTCCTTGGAGGGTCCGTGACAGGAGCCCTAGCGGGTGGCAGGAGAGGCAGAGGTCTCTTGTTAGACAACTGCCGGGCTTGTGCTATAGTGTGTGTGGTGGGTGCCACTCCCTGCATTGGTAGGCTGGTGTTCGGAGGTTGAGGTGACTTGCAGACTACGCCCTGCGGTAGCCCTGTCGGCTTTAACGAAGCTGATGAAGGTGGCAGATGGGAGTGCTGCTGCTGCAGAGGCTGCTGCTGCAAAGGTGCAGGAAGGGGGCTAAAGTGCTCTTGGCGAACTTTTAAAATCTCTGTCTCTCTCTGGCGCTGCCGGTTTTGAGCCAACTTGCTCTGCAACTTTTTCCTCACTGTTGCCCCTTTCTTTAGGTCATCATCCTCCTCGTTGAAAGCAAAGGGGTCTTCTAATTCTGCCTCCAGGTAGTGGAGAGGAAGCCTAGCCCCTGGAGGGGAGAGGGACATCCCATCCAGTCCGTTGGGCATCTTCAAGGCCAGGGTGGGCACTGTCAGACTGAAGGCCATAGCATCCATCTGATGCCTGACCTTTACCTCCTCTATGGGATCATTCTTTTTCTTCCTCTCCTTTTTCGGTATAAAGCCAAGTACCTGCAGGTGGCTGTTGCAGTACCTTTGAAAAGTAATAGCAGTCAGTTATTAACTCAACTCTTGTAAGTAAAATCTGAAGAAAACAGACATCACTAAAGGGAAATCCACACACACCCATCTCATGTGAATTTAGATTGAAACGTAAGAAGTTTTATAAGAAGTGTACACAACTGCTTCTAATACAACAGAACCTGTAACAGAAAGCAAAAACTTACACAATTTTGTGATCTTAAGATATAAAAATCTTCAGTCATTATTCATAAGAGAATCACACACAACCATTCAAAATATTTACCCTCAAATAGGGTAAATACAAAGCAAAGCAAACAAAACAAATGGACTGATATATAAACCAGTAAGAACTCAAGCCATTAACTCTGATCATTTCAAAAGCTCCCACTGAAAACTACTTCCTTTCATTTGGCTGTTCTTTCACTGGAAGTAGTTAATATTTTCATCAATGCACACATTATTGTTATGAATTCCACTGTAGTAGAGAGCAGTTTCTTATACGGACAATCTCACTAGAGATATCTGCTGAGAAAGGTCCCTATTTGCACTTAATGAACAAGTAGCATAAATATTTAAGTTCTGTTTTAGTAGTTTAACATGATGAATTTTGTAGCCAGCAGATTAGCTGCATGTTCTTCAAACAAAAAAAATCTAGTTTAAAAGCAATTCTCTGCTGCTAGAAAACATTTACACAATGCCAGGAATATGTATACATACAATCCACAAATACGGACTTTAAGGTCTTCTAATATAAAAAAAGCTTTTAAAGTAATGTTATTTAAAAATAAAAAAAAAAAGGAAAAATTCTTTGAAAGTTTGTCATGAAAATTAAAAGGAGAAGGGTAACAATTTATGGCCACAGATAACATACTAAGAAGTAAACAACTAATTTTGTCTGATTAAAACAAGCAGGTCATAGAAATGTAGGAACCAGTCCGATCCTTTTACTGTTTCACACAGGCAGGCCCTCCTGCCTCTGTAGAATGCCACCAGCAATCAGACTTCTGCCCTTGCAGGATTCCATCTATAACCTGCAGCTCATAGATGAAAACAAAGATATGAGGAAAAAGTGATGCCTACATCAAGGTATTAATGAACAAGCTAAGGACATATCCATGAAGGTATTAATGGAAATGAATAAGGACAAGATAAGGAAATATACCACTAAAGTATAAAATCTGATCAGTATGAATCTGAGAAAAGTAAATTTTGTTGAATAAACAGGTTAAAATTAAATTATTCCTGGTCTTCATGGAGAAAAAAATAAACAGAAAAGCCTAAACCAAGCCCCCAAACAAGTTTAACACTTCAGTTTAGTGACTTTCAACTTGCTCTTCCACCTCTCAAGAAGCAATGTGTGAACTGCTTCTAAAGGGTCCATAAAAGGTAAAAAAGAAAAAGCAAATTCATATATACTCCTTAACAATCTCCATACATGTAGTTTCTCAAGGGATCCACACCCATAAGGATTCACAAATCAGAAAAGGATGAGAAGTACTGCTACTTATTACTGTCTAAATAATTTATTACATTAAATTGTAATAATAAATAAATCCAAATGAGGCAAGCTGAAAGCCAGCAACGTGTGGAGTCCCTGTTAGAATACACTGGAATACTGTAAATTCATATTGACAAATGCACTTCTAAAAATAAAATTACGTAATGAGAGCTCAATAAAGTTTCCCTTAAAGTCAACAGCATTATTCCCATAATTAAAATTAAGCACTTTTAAAAAATATTTTGGTTGAACAAGACTGATGAGATTAGTTAGAACAGCACTTTTAGTATGACAGAAGAATAAAACAATAAACAGACAAGACAAACACAATGGAATTTTTCCCCTCTTAATTCCAATAAAAAGAGAGTTTTGCTCAATGTGAATGCTTCCTTTATATTGTTCAGAACTTAAATATTGCCACCTTGTGCTTGTGCAGGAGCGAGGAGGTAAAACTGGCTAGTCTGTTTTCATTGTGAAAACCAGAGAGAAAGCAAAAAAAATAGAAAATGTGAATAAACCTATGAAAAGGTAATTAGCTTGCTAACATTCTCTGAGTTTTAGGCTATTAAGGGTTTTGCTTCCTCTAACAGCATCATTTTTATATGGCAGAGAATAAAGCCTTGGCCCTTAGAACTGACCGTAGTGCATCACTGAAAGCCACCAATATCTTACAGGGGCATCACCTCTAGACACAAACCCATAGATGCCAGGCTACAACACAATGAAAACAGAGATCGCATGCACTTGCAGACTCCAGTACACACTGACTTGGCTCTGTGCTTTAGGCTCTATCAACTCTCTTTCAGCGTAACCAAGGCTGATACACCTTGCCTGCTGGACTAAAAGGAGCAAGAAGCTAGGAAGAGCATTTAAGTCTTCTCTGGGTAGAGGAGACTACACACAGGCAGTTTTGGCTAGGCATAATTTATTAGCACCAACTAAACCTTGGCCTTGCCAGGGTCTAGCTGGTCCCATGCGGAGCCAGGCAGGCACACACACCCACTCCCCCATTCTTCAGGTTCCAGGATGGCTTTTTAGTTGGCCCTGACCCAAACTGGATCTGACTTTACATGGTGCTGCAGAGCCTGGTGCAGGTATTAACTGACTCTGCTGGAACCGGTCTATAACCAGCTGAGTTAAGGCAATAAACTCTTTGGATCAGATGTAATGCCAGGGGAGGTGTTAGTAGTTCGTGCTCCATGGAAGACAGATTACTGGGAAGACTGGAATAGTACCTGCAAGTAGCACAGTCCCTTTCACACAGCTCTCAGCATGAAACCTGTTGGGGTTAAGCTGTCTCCACAAGAGCTAATTCTTACGTGGCTGTCTCAGTGGCACAATTTGTCACTTCTATAACCTGCCTGGGAGTTATTCTCAGTTGGCATCAGAAAGTATCACATTGAGTATCTAATACAGTTTTTCCCCCTTCGTTACTCAGTGCCAAAGGCACTTACTCTGTGCAGGTGAGGTTGAATGCAGTCAGCACATATGGTAAGAGCGGTGGGTTGATATCTATTAAAACTATCCTAACATGAAGCACACAAAATGTGACAGGCTCTGAAGGCTTCAGGTGGACCTTCCCATACCATTGGGAAGGTAAGACTTCAGACAGCGAGCTTTTCCACCTACAACTGCATTCTCCTTCCCAGTACATCCCAGACTGGTATCAAGTTCTGTCACTTATTTAAAGGAAGATCCAAATAAACCAGACAGCATCTTGCATATTAACAAAATATTTAAAGATTTTCTTGAAAAAGAATTAGAGACTAAATGGTATTTAACCCAGCTAAATTGTAAAAAAACCACACACTTAAAAATTAAGCTGAACTTCATTATTGCCTGTGTATTTGGATAAGAAAGAATTAGGAGATACGTATTCAGAGGAAATACAGAACCCACGTCTGTGTATCATCCCATATATATTCTTTAAAAAAAACCAACATAGGGAATAGAGAAACTAGACTTCAAATAAGGCAATGAAGTCATGCACTATTAATAGATTTAATCTGTAGAATGTTAACGGTTAGTAAGAAATCTAATAGTATAGCAGCATATTACACATCTTCGTGGCTGGTAGCATCTCATTTGTCTAGGGTCAAGTGATAATTTTTTTTAATTATCTATGGACAGACTATGAAACTTCTGGCATATAATGCATGCATCCTGTTAAGACATTTTATTTTTTATAATCTTTAAAAGTATATAAGAAGATAGCTGTCAGAGCATCATACGGCCTGCTTCTGATCATGTACAGTTACATGTCTAAAACTGTGACAAAATGACCATCTGACAGTGATTTTGTACACAGAAAATTAGAAGCTACGAGTGAAGAACTCAGACATAGCAAAGATCTTTATATCGAACAGAGTGTGAAAAAAGTCTCCTAAGAAACAGATACAGGTTTGCCTGCCAAAAAAAAAAAAAGTTTAGAGCAGGCACAGTCTTATCACTAACATTCATTACATTTTATTGTTAAAATTAAACTCTGCCCTGAGAAGCAGTCTTTTAAAATATTCTTTCAAACTATCACATCCTCTCATTTGAAATTAAAAGTTTATTTTCTCCTTCAGACACCTGCTGTCCTCTTCAAGTACTGTAATGTGACACTCGACATGCAATTGAATTATTCTAATATAACATACACCAGATGTCATGACCACACTTCACTTTAACTTGAGAAAAATCAAAAAGAACAAAGTGTGAACTCAATTCAAGGTGTAAAGAAAAATCTCAAATTCCACGGGAACGTATGAGACCTAAAGAAGTGTCAGTAAGTACTATTACTTCTATTGTTTTTAAGTATGACCCCTGGTAAACAGCAACTCTGGCTCAGTCAGCTCTTGCATCTGAAATTACAGCATACCATTTGCGCTGACAATTTCCATGATCCTTTCTGCGAGCTTATTTCCAAAGAGCCTCAATTGTACAGTAGCAAAGAAACAGTCACTTACTGTCAAATTACAGCTAAAGTTATTCATCTTGTGCCATTTGAGCATTTGCCCTACAGCTTTTGACAAACATTCATGTTTTTTTCTCACTTCATCAGTCTCCTCAACTGAAATGGCAGGTGAAGTGCAAGTTAATTTAGAGCACAGTCCAACTGTTGTTTCAGACAAGAGAGGGAGCTGTGAGCTGAGAAGGAAGTTATATGTAGGGCACAGTGGGAACACTGCTAATAATGCAAAAGGTTAGTGAATGGCAGCTAATAATGTGAAAGGTCAGGGGATAGTGGTTTGATTCTTTTTTGGCATATTTTGTTTATACTTTAGGTTAAAAAAAAACGTTTCTAACAGAACAAGCCTCAGATAGTTAACACATGCATTAATACTGTGATAGTCGCAAAACCTGCAACAACGACTCTGAAAAATTAAAGTCATATATACCTGGCAGCCAAGACTAGACAAATTCTGCTATTTCAGCCCAAGCAACACCAACGAGACTGGTGCTCAGGAAGCCTTAAAGAGCAAGGAAGAATGTCCTTGTGGTTACAGTATGGGCTGCAATTCAGTAAATCTGGTTTGAATTCCCAGCTCTCCAATAAGTGCAAGTTCTCTCTCTTGTAAGGTATTTAATACCTGAGCACCTTGGGCATCTTCATTTGAGCAGGGAGGGGGAAAAAAGGAGGGAAGCAAAGAAGAAAGGGGGTGAACGGCACTCTCCCAGCTGGCTCATCTGTTATCAAGTAGTATTTATTTTATTCCTAACACAACACTACAGATCAGTAGCAAATCACAAACACTGAATTGTAATTCTGGATTCATCCCTATGTGCCGCTGCTCCCTAAGCCCAGAAGTAATGCATTTCCAACTGTTTGTCCTGAAAAAGTAGAGGGAAGCGGGCTTTTGGCACAGCTGGCCAAACAAGCAGGCCTTTTTAAGAGCATTTACTGTGAGTGACAAAGCAAATTAATTGAACAGCAGGTATTGTGTGGCAGGTTTGATCCACAGTTTACAGTGAATTTGAGAAAAGCAATGAAATCTCCTGAAAACTTCCTTGGGAGTAAGTTACTGGCCCCTTTCTGAGTATTTGATTCCCACAGAAAATAAAATAAAGTTTACTGGTCCTAAAACAAAACCCTCAAAGGAACATCCTGGAATTCAATCCACTCGGGCCGGTTCCTCCCTCATCCTGAAACCAGGCAGCATCTTAAAAGAAAACTCATGCCGACCTCCCCGCCACTTCCCACTTTGCAGATGCGTGATCCCAACTCACCTACGATCCTCAGATTTGGGGATGGGGTTGGTGCAGCGTTGGCTGTTATACTTGGCCACATATTCACATTGCTTGAAGGGGGCAGTCTTGTCCTCCAGAACGTGTCTGATACAGAAGGCGTAGCCGTTAAGTCGCCTCTGCTTGCACAGTTTGGGGCTATATGAGCACAAGGGCTTATTGTCAACCTCAGAGAAGTGTATGTGTTTGCCTTCATACATCACGTGACTCTATTCCTTGTGAACATCAGCTGAAAGAACCAAAATATTAAGACAAATCACATAAGGAAAAAAAATACATTCAGTTCTAAAGTGTGTGTTTCATTTTGGCAGGAAAGAGGGACCCAAAACAATACCTGATTTTAAATCTTCTGTACCATATCAATGTTAAGAGAGAGCCCCAAGGACACCACTATCCTGGAATGATGATGAATCAAGATGAAGCAGATTGTCTATGGAAAATACGCAAAAGGTCAAAGTCAGTCAGAATAAAATAGTTATTATTACTGCTTAATAAATAAGTTGCCAGATGTAGCCACTAAACCTGTGGTTCAGCTAGCATCCAATAAGCCAAATCCACTAGCATAATAGTTTTCAATCAGTAATCACAGATCTTTGGAAACCATGAAAGGAAATTATTGGGGGAAATAAAATTCTACTGTCGCTGCACTTAAACCTGTTAAACGAAACTCCACTCATCTATCAGAAAGTGATTAGGAGCTACAAGTTGAAAAAGGTTAAGTGTCAGATTAGATCACTTGCTTTCAGGGATCAAGTTGAATGATGATTAACCCATCTGATTGCAGAGGTTTTACTTCAAGTATCTTTGCTTACAAAAATGCTGGCGACTATCCTTGCTCTGCAAAATTTTAATTTCAGCCGCCAGTGCAAGAAAGCTTTTTTTATTTTAAAAACAGCTTTCTTTACCACACCTGATGAACAATCTGCAGATCTTGCAGCTGCCCACAGCTTCTGCAAGCAACAATATGCAGACCTTACTGAGGTCATCATGGTTCTTCAGAGCTTTTCCTACCTTATTGTACTTATTTTAGGTAAATGTGGGCATTAATAATGTCAGAAGCAGTACTCCCATCAATGCCAGGAAGGCTGAAATGTCATTTCAGCAAGAGGTTGGGGGTTTTTTCCCCATAGACTCCTACAGTGCAAATCCATGCAATCATAAGGTACTTTTTCCATCTTCCAACACTATGGAGTCTTTGGCAATCATCTTTATTAAAAACCAAACCAAAACAAAAACACCCAACCAAAAAACCCAACAAGACACCACCCCAAAGCAGCTTCAAGTAAAATTAACAGTACACGTATTCTGCAGCTACTCTGCTACACTCAGCTTAGCCTGCAAAAGGCAGCTTTTATTCAGAAAGGCCATCCTGAAGCACTGGAATAAACTCTTTTGAACATGGTTTATTCAGTACTCAGTTCAGTTTCACGTGTGTTATACACCAAGCGAAGGACTGTACAGAGAGGTGATATTCAGGAAATACGTAATAAATTAGAGGCATGTGACAATGTACAGATTATCACCTCAATCAACTTGTTCCCAAGGCCTGAAATGGCCAGAACACAATTGCAAGGAGGGAGCCTACACAGACTTTGCAGGAAAGATGCAGTTTCCTCTTGTGAAGGTACAAGCCTTCACTTGCTGCTGTATAAAAGCGCCTTGAGAAAATGACAACCACTATGACACTGGGGGATCTAGAAAAGCAACTTTACGTCACTAGGGCAAAACAAAACACCCTATCACACCTCTAACAGTGAACTGCATAAACCAGGCCTTTCATTAGCATATATCTAGCTGTAGAAGCAGAAGGACAGAAGACTACTAAAAATATAAAAGCACACTTAAAATGCTTGAAACAGTTGTATATGCACATGTATGGCATATACACAACATACAGAATAGAGACACATGCTACAAAATGTAACTAGCATAAGTGACCTGATTAATCATTTGACAATAATAAGGATAATTTCTTATTTCCTCTTTATACACATAGTTCCCTTTCCATGCACACATGCAAGCAGCCATCCCCAGGGGCAGGGGCCTTGTGCTTTGCTTATGCAGGATAGCCACAGCACCAAGCATGGACATCTAATCCAGTTCCAACCACTTTTCCTAACTTCTCTCAATGCATGGAAGCACATGAGAGTACAGAGCACATACTATTTATATTTGAAACTACTCATTGGGAGTATGACCCTTCACAATGCATCTGTCCTAAGAACAGAAAAGTTCATTGTTGGCTGTGCCCTTAAAAAACACAGAATGGGAAGAGGGAACTATCTATTCTTTAGCATGCTGAGAACCAAGTAATCCTTTCAGATACCTTTGTTAAGGCAGATACTGACATACATTTCACTATTATCCAGCAACATGAAAGAAAAAGATAAATCCAATGGTGACATGCCCAATACAGGAGTTGTGATCTGGGTTTGGGTCCCCTATGTTTGAGACAGCCTCCTCCATTACTATGGCAGCAAAAGTAATCAAATGAGTCTTAATTGCATCTCATACACACAATGAAGCTGGCAGAAAGCCTTTTGCTCCGCAGTTTGCTTCTCTCAACAGTTAACCAAAGCTTGTATTTGGTAGCATACTGGACAGGATGAAAAACTTGAAAGAACAAGTGCATCTTGCAGTTGGGTGACTCGCATGGTGCTCTCTCTCTCTCTTTCTTTCTATTTACCACATTCTTTTAAGCTACTATATCATGCTTTGTAGTTTTTGACAGATCAATGATCTTCTCCTCTTTTGCACAACCCAGCAACATTTCTTTTCTGAAGGTTATCATACAACAGACCAAAGAAAAAGAGTTCCTCAGAACGGTTCCAAAGTAAACAGCAAGAAACACATAGCTGGTGTGCCTCTGCTAAGCTTCTGTAAAGAAACTGCTTCACAGTCCCCAGCCACTACAATCCTGGATTTATTCTTGTGCCCCCAGTCTTATTTTTGGATTTAACTCACAATTAAATCTTATTTTTGCATTTAACTTGACCGTCTGATGGCAGGCATAGTATTTTACTTCTCGCTTGTCTGAAAGATACAGGCCACAAGTACAATGGCATATGAAACATTTAAGCAAAAATACAGACAATAATCCTCAGGGAAACCAATGAGCTTGGACATGAATTTTTGGGTCTATATATATATATATACTGAGAAGCTCATGCAAATATAACCATGTTAAAAATCCTAATAGGAATCGATTAGTGCAACAGACAAAAAGAAAGTTAATATACCTAGCAGCCAATGTTATATTAAAAAAACCCTACAGTAATTCTCTCAAACTTGCAATTATATCTTTATTGGTAGACTCCTACACAGACTTCCCAAAAGGCAGTGGCACTATGTGGTTATACTGCCAGGATCAGAGAATGAAGTTGTACTTAACCTAAAAAGAGCTTTTTCTTTTTACTTCCATAGCATAGTGTGTATATATATAAGATAACAAAGGCATTTAAATCTATTGATTCTGATTTTATCTGATGTGGTATTTTATTTTGAACAAAATATACAGAAGTTCTTAGCAGGGCTTTTTGCTGCTACATAAAAAGCAGCACAAGCATGGAACAGGCACATGTCACTTAACTGAAGAGAACTGAAACTACACTTAGCTAAATAGTGGGTGGGGGAGAAATTATTTTTGTCCCACAGGATTCAGTAAGAGATGATGAAAACATGGACTTCCCCTGGAAAAATCAAATGCTTAAGCAGCTGTACTTCACTGCAAAAAACAGGGTACAAAACTTTATGGAAGTTGTTTTGGGTTTTGCATTTATATTCTACATTGAAGTTGTAGAAAAGTTCAACAGAAACATAATTTATGCCAGCATATGTTCAAACTGGCTTTAGTCACAACCCATGAATGAGAAACCAAAGGCTGCTTCTTGAGGAATCTAGATTTTCCTTAAACAATTGCTTCTAAATAAAAGATTTTGGGCTAGTCAGAAGCAATGGGGCAAAGAACAGAAGAAAATAAAAAAATGTGTGCCATTGCCAAATGATGCAAGACATGACTGATGTTTAAAAAACCATGGTAGGGGATAAGGTGAATACAGAACGGTCATATACCATATCACACAGTATTAGAACTAGGGGTACATGATGAAGCTAGTAAGAGCTTGACTCAAAAAACATATTAAAGAAGTACTACTTCATTTTTACTACTCACAGGTAGTGAACTGCTGGAACTTGTGTCACAGAAGGCTATGGAAGCAGACAGTCTCATCAGGTTCAAAAAGACAATAGAAAAGTTCATAGACAATGGGGAGCTAAGTGATGTACCTGCTAGCATGCCTAATTTAACAAATACAGATGTTGGAGGAGTAAGAGAAGAAAACACTAAAACGTGGCTTGGCTTTCATGCTCTTCCTAAATAGCATCACTTACTCCTATTGCCCAAGAAAGAACACTAGGTTGGATCAACCCCTGATCTGACCCAGCAGGGTATTTCTTACATTCTTATGAGGTTATCACTAACATTTGTAATTTAATAACATATTTATTTCTCCCCTTCTCCCATTTTTTATTCCTGAGCAGCTGACTGGATGAAAATTTCCTTCCTCTGGCAAAAGCCCTATCTGTACATGCGAAGCGTAACAAACTTAGCATCCCAGCAAGGCTTTATAGCAAGGATAGGCAGGACACAGAGCAAACTACGCTGTGCAACATCATCATTTAGAGCAGAGCTACTTGTCCTGCTGAGTGTGGCCACTAGTAGTCTGTAAGGCTACTTTGGTAGTGGTTTCAAAGTGACTGTAAAAGGAGACATGAAAGACTTAAATACACACAGGTACACACCTGTGCAACCAACAGTACCTGCTGTCAGGCATAGGAAGAAGCCAGCTCCCAACTGCTTTCAGTACTCACAAGCAGGCATAATCAGTTCCCTTGCAGCGCACATTAGCTCCAAGATAACAAAGCTGTAACTCTGCACTCTGCGTACCCTCTCCCAAAACAGAGCCCTTCAGAGAGGCTGGGAAACAGTGTAGCAGCAAACTTTGTGGGGGGAATCCTTGCTAGACCATACTGCGTATCAGCATTATGTCATACAGAAATTTGGTACCTGACATCATCTGTAGTCTACAGAGAAGTTAATGGCCTAGTCACTATTAGAAAACCCAAAGCATTATAGCCCCAAAACTCAATCAGTAATTTCACCATGCCGAAAATACTAGAATATTTTCAAACATGTGGGTTAGATACATTCTTAAACTTATGCTCAGAATTTGACATTCAACATATGTAAGACCATTTTAGGCAATAGAATCCCCAAATGCATTGTAAATTGCAAGGCAATTATGTGTCGGTGGTTAAAAGATGTATAATTAAGAGGACTGAACTCAGAGCTTCACACATTGCATCCAAACAAAAGCAACGATTAAAGAGGTCTTAACTGTGTTGTTTTGCATTTGGTAATACTAGCACAGTTTTCATGTTAAATTGCTTGGTGTGATCATCACATCTCACAAACAAGGTATAATCATCTATCTACATATGCTTTCAAAACCATCAGCTTGGGGCAAAGTGGAACATGGATCTCCAAGAACCTTGGCTTTTCCACAAATAGCATAAATAGTAGTTTTGTTGATTCCTCAACTTGACCAAGGAAGAAAATTCTCTGCGTTGCCACTGTCTGATCCTATTGCTGAGACTACCAGTAAATACAAAGATTTTAAGATGCTTAGGCAACATGGAATTTCATCCACTCAGAGATGAACAGAGATCATAAAAATCATTACAAAAAAGACATGCATTTAAAGCTACCTTACAGTAAAACCTTTTGGTCAGTATTAGTAAAAACTGTATTATTAGAGAAAAAGCAAAAACATTCCTTTTTTCTGTTTCATACCAAGAGACTTTAGGCAACTAGTACCTCTCTGGGAAATGCTCTCTTCTATCAAGAGAAGCTGCACCACATCTAATTGTGGTCGACATCAACACCACAAAGCTGTAACTTCTGTTCCCATTCTGTGATCTAACCATAACTTTGGCTTAGTTCTGGTCATTTAACAGCTCAATTCTCTACTACGCTCAGCTACCAAACCAAGCCTGCTGTAGTTGTGGAAACAAGAGTCTTTTTGTTAGTAAAAGCATCGAAATTGAGACAGAAAACACTGGGAAGCAACCAAAGTCAACTACAACAGCTCCTGTAGGAAACACTTTAATTAACTAGACAATAATCCTTTCTCAAGAAGACCTCCAAAGAGCCCTGCACAAGTCAAGGTACTGCGTACACATGCAAGTACCCTGACACTTAACATGTTAAGACCTTACTAGACATTTTTAGTTACCACCTGGAATCATATTTTGGACTCCTTTTTTTCATATGTTAAAATCTACCTATGAGAAGCAGCAACATTGTCCTCATTCCGCCTTTTAGAAAGCTTGCTACTTCAACTCTGCAAAAGGGCAGTTTATACTGCATAAGGATGTCTGATATATTAACAGAAAAGCAGCAGTATGCTTTAGGCAATACTTTATGTAATGTAGATTATGCTTCAGAATATAATGCAATAAATAGAGAATTAAATTTAAGTATTATTCCTAATAATGGCTAGAGAACTTAAAGACTTGTAACAAGTTTCAATCTACAGCAAAAAACATAATTAAGAGGAGAGAAAATAAATTTCAAAACTGAGCAGGTTCTTCTTTTTGAGCCTAAGCAGGAATTCAATTTCAGCTGATTCACTTGTCTGATAAATAGTACCTTGAAGAAAAAACTGACAAAGACAGCCCAAAGCCTAAAAAACCCCCAAACATTTTAGACTCTAGGAATTTTGAAACGTCAAAGGATTTCTAAAGAGAAAAGATGTTAAGTAGGAAGATTCATAACTGTTGCTAAGAGCACATTCCTATAAATGCCAATAAAATAATTTCCTAAACATGGCTGGCTATTCCTGACCTGAGGTTCAAGACAGGCTCCATATCTTTGGAAGTCTTTTGAACAAGGATTTCTCTATTTGAGGAGGTCTCAGGCCTCAGTCCTGCAATCACATCCTTACAGGCAGATTCTCATGCTTGCACAGAAGCAGACTTATTTCAATGTGGCTACAAACAGGCCCAGGTTTTGCAGGGCAAGTGGGGCTGCAGAAAGGCAGCCTTCAGATGCAGCAACAAATGGAACATTTAGGCCACTGCAACATCGCAGAAATGCATTTTAAAACGTTATCTCAAAATATCAAAGCCATGATCCTGAGACAAAGCAGAGACTAAACATACTACAGCATACCTTGCAACTGTACTTGAATGAAAAAAAGGCTTTAAGTCCAAGTTTTTTATTTAGTCAAATAACAGATAGCCTGCACTTGCATATGAGGTTCAACAAAATACCTTAGTCTTATTTTTAGTCCCAGTGCCATGAAGACAAAGAAGCTTATTTTCACACAATACAGGAATATCATTCTTGCTTCAATGGGAATAATAAATAAAATAAAGCAGTAGAGCTCCTCACAGAGCAGCCTTTTAGCAGTTAGAAGCTATCAAAGTTTCAGTATGGTATTACAATAAATTTGTACCTCCTGAGGATTCACCATACTGTGAGAACACGGTACATGCAACTCTGTAGGACCAGGCCCTATGTACAAATTCATTCACTCATCACAAAAATATTGAAACATCAAAACAACTCCCATTAAGTAAATTTTGGGTTGCTTTCTGTAGATAATTTAGCTTTACAATTAATAAGTTGTCTGATGTACGTACGTGTTACAAACAAATCACATAAAAGGCTGAAGATGGCTGCGAAAATGTCACCAGGTTGTGACAATTTCATACAAAACACGAGCGCTCCAGTTCATGGGTCAGGAGCTGTACCTGGGGGTGGAACACTGCCAGTACACGGGTGCCCATAGCATAGGGGAGGGCTCTCGGCTACAGGGGAACAAACCATTGCCTTAAATTTGCCAATTTTCTTATTTAAGTCTACCAATGCTCAAAAATTGAGAACAGTCTTAAAATAAACCTTCATCGTATGTTGTTAAGTAACAAAGTTAGAACTAACTATAGATCTACATATTTTAATCAGATGGCATAATATAAGACTTTAAGGTAAGTGTTACTGTCATTTTTCAAAATTCATTTGAGGTTACCTGTACACAGCCATTAACGTTTTGAGCTAAACAACATATTAAGGAACATTTGACCAAAACTAGACACCTCCCACATGAGAAACCAGAGCTATTTCACCTGTGCGGGGTGAAGTACGTTGGTGGGTTTTCCAGTGGACTCACTTCACAACTACCAGACGTTCTTGTCCCTGAAAAAAAGGATCCTTTCATTTTCAGTCCTGGCGGGGCAGCAGCAGCTGACA